GAGAGAGAGAGAGAGAGAGAGAGAGAGAGAGAGAGAGAGAGAGAGAGAGAGAGAGAGAGAGAGAGAGAGAGAAAGAGAGAGAGAGAGATTCGTTGGTTGTCCTGAATGTATCTGGTCGGTTTTCATCATTCAGGAACACAAGCACAAAAGCCACTGATGAATTCAGTACTTCAAGTGTACATATGTATTGTATATATCGTCAAATAGAACTGCCCGGTAAACTGTAGGCAGAGAGGGAGAAAAGGACAACAAACGAGGGGCTGTGATACATAAATATCAGCCTCCTGATGAGTCGGTGAAACTCCGACGAAACAGTTTGTCACAGCCCCTCGTTTGTTGTCCTCTTCTCTCTCTCTGCCCACGGTTTACCGGGCAGTTCTGTTTGTGACAATATATATATTTATATATATATGGCCATTTTGCGGAATCTATGTGACCGGAAACGTCAATCTTCCCTTCACCGAGTTAAAAAAAAAAAAAGGTTTGTAAATTCGTAGCTCTACTGCTACCGTCTTCACCCGAATAGAACGCCCGGTCTTTGGAGCTGTATTCCCGTCTTGTGTGCTCTGCTTCGTCCTCTCCAAGGTCACATCTCCAACTCTTCATTACACCGCTTCACTCCTGCCGCAGCTTCGCTGCGGCGGGCCCACTTGTTCGAAATAAAACTGGACTTTTCTTTCGCAAATGGTTTCCACAAAAAATTTCGCTGTCACCCAACGGACGGCCTTCACTAGTTGCTTACCCCGTGCTCTGACTGTGCCAACATACTAGAGGAGGGCGAACATGGCCACATTAACTACCAAGGCTCGTCCGAACAAGGACAGATGCTGGGCTGGACCCCACAGGTTGATACGTTGCTCTATTCTTTGCTGTAGTAGGTTGTTCTGTGCTTCCGCACAGTGCCCGACTGTAACCTGTACACCCAAATACCTCTCAGAATCACCACCTACGATTCGTTTCATTCCCTATTCGACAGCTATCGAGAAGCCTTCAGGAAAGAAGTAAACTGACTTAGACCAATTAACCGCTGCTTCCGAAAGGGTGGCGTACTCCACGAAGCACGATTCCACAGCCTGCAAGGACTCGAGCATGTTTTCGGAGATCACCATCAGATCGTCTGCCAGTGGTTTGACATGGCAGTCTTTGTGTTGGTTGGTTAGTCCTCGAATATTCGGGTGCACTCTGATATTGGTGACCAGTACTTCCAGTTCTAGCACAAATAGGAGGGGGGCCAGCGGGCACCCGTGCCTGAGAGACCTCGTCAATGAGAAGGATGGGGAGATATGCCCATTCACTGACACTGACACAGTGGAGACTGTGCAGAGGACTGATACCCAACGACAGAAATTAGGCCCAAATTGCAGACATTTCTAAGTGGTATGCCCAGTTAACTCTATCATAAGCTTTCTCCAAGTCAAGCAGCATTACCGTCATATCTAGGTTTTCCTGGTCTATCCATTCCAGTGCCTCAATGGCGGTGACAATGTTGTCGAAGATGGATCTGCCCTGAACAAAGGCGGCCTGATCGTGGTCAGCCAACTGTGGTAGGTGCCTACCTAATCTATTTGCTAATAACTTAGCCAAAATCTTGTATGATACATCCAGCAGCGAGATGGGTCTCCAATTGCGGATCTCAACTTTGTCACCTTTCTGTATAAGAGGGTAATAATCCCATGTGTCATAGAGTCTGACAGCATTCCACCGGTGAGGGCTTCGTTGAAAATCTTGACCAAGTGAGGCAACAACGGTTTGCCATACTGCAAATAGAATTCCACTGGCAGGCCGTCCCTACCAGGGGATTTACCTTTCGCCATGCAGTTAATGGTTTTCTCCAGTTCCTCAACTGTTACTGGGCGGTCGAGTACCAGCTTATCACTGTTTGAAAGTCTGACTGTCGTATTTTTCCAGTGGTGCAAGTCCTCAGCGAGGTTCGTATCAGGGGATTCCTCTGGTCTGCGCGAGGTTAGGATATCCTTAAAATACAATGCCGCATAGTTACATAGTGCATCAGAGGAGGAGGCTGTTCGCGCCTCTGGCACGAATGGGTGATTGAGCACTTTCATCGACTGTGCTGATCTTTTGGGCATCAGTTTCTGAAAGGCTTCTTTGGTCATTCGGTCGTATATTGAGATCCCTTGCACTGTTAGTCTTTCGGCCCATTCCTCTGCCCTCTCTTGCTGGATTTCATCCCACTTGTTCAATAATTTGATCCTTTCAGGGTCGACTGCCGAAATGGAAAGGTAATTATTTATAGAGCCATACACCTCTGGATATCAGTCGGAGACACTGAAACTACGTTTGGAGATTCCTACCTACCTGTAGTTCAAGTAACGGCATACACACCCATTGTAGTCTATGCTCAGAGAATACCTCCTTCTTGTAGCTCTAGTAGAAGCATGCCTATCGAGGGAAGCTATCAGTACAAAAACCTTTGATCGACAAGAAGCTAAGCATTCCCATCAAATCTACTGA